GAGGATAGAGGATAGAGGATAGAGGATAGAGGATATAGGATATAGGATAGAGGATATAGGATAGAGGATAGAGGATAGAGGATAGAGGATAGAGGATAGAGGATAGAGGATAGAGGATAGAGGATAGAGGATAGAGGATAGAGGATAGAGGATAGAGGATAGAGGATAGAGGATAGAGGATAGAGGATAGAGGATAGAGGATAGAGGATAGAGGATAGAGGATAGAGGTTAGAGGATAGAGGATAGAGGATAGCGGATAGAGGATAGAGGATAGAGGTTAGAGGATAGAGGATAGCGGATAGAGGATAGAGGATAGAGGATAGAGGATAGAGGATAGAGGATAGAGGATAGGATAGAGGATAGAGGATAGAGGATAGAGGATAGAGGATAGAGGATAGAGGATAGAGGATAGAGGATAGAGGATAGAGGATAGAGGATAGAGGATAGAGGATAGAGGATAGAGGATAGAGGATAGAGGATAGAGGATAGAGGATAGAGGATAGAGGATAGAGGATAGAGGATAGGATAGAGGATAGAGGATAGAGGATAGAGGATAGAGGATAGAGGATAGAGGATAGAGGATAGAGGATAGAGGATAGAGGATAGAGGATAGAGGATAGAGGATAGAGGATAGAGGATAGAGGATAGAGGATAGAGGATAGAGGATAGAGGATAGAGGATAGAGGATAGAGGATAGAGGATAGAGGATAGAGGATAGAGGATAGAGGATAGAGGATAAATTATATATGGTTGAGAATTGGGGATATATGAGTGAATGCCTCATCGATCGAGCATTTGTTATTAATAATTTCTTCCTTATTCTAATTATTACTTCTGTATAACGAATTAATGTTAAAGTCATACCTGCTTTATAAGAATATAAAATGAATGTATATTTAAAAGATTGTTTTCTTACACACATCATTAAAGCATAATCAGTAGCTTGTGAGGCGTCATGATTTATTTCGTCTTTTGTTTGTTTATGTATTCTCTGTACATTTGTATTTTAGTTAATAGATTTTAGCTTTTTGTTGTGCGAAAAGATATAAAAGCAAGATACAGATGCAAAAAGCACAACAAATACGCTGGCAATTACGTGATTGATGGCTGCGCCGCGATTAAGGTTCTAAGAGTGAGTGTACTGTAGAATATTCACTTTGCCGTCTACAGATTGGCAAGAAAAATAAAAAGAAAACAATTTTACTGAGCTGGTATATTTATGAGCGAACAACTCCAAACGACGTCTCGGGCGGACAATGCAGGCATACCAATTAGGATCAATTGACGGATGTGAACTGGACAATGTACGGCGATGATTCAATCACTTCACAGGCTCAACTTGGCGTTCCCCTGCTGCTGGATAAACCAAAATTGTAGCCTGTTACATATAAGTAAAACGACTAACAAACGAGAATGCCAAATCTAGGTATATTCTATACAAGAGATTAATAATATTACAAGTTTCCAAAATGTAAGCTTCGAATAGACCTACAAAAACATAGAGCAACATAAGTTGGAAGAGAACAAGTAGTCGAGAGTGCTAAATGGAAAAAGCCCTCTGTATGAGAATCAGCATATAATCTTCTGCATAGCTTTGAAAGATTTCTTCTTACTAAATCTATTTCGGGGCGTAAAAAGCTTCGTTTAATTCACGCTTGAGAAAGTAAACATCAAGCCAACAGCCGAATAACATTTGCAGGCTTACTCAGGTTTTTAATTAACAGTTTCGTTTTAGCGACGCTGACTGCTGTTGCTCTGCCTATTGACAGTGCCACTCAATTTGACGGAGTCGACGACGGCGTCTGCGGTTGTAACAGAGAGAGCGTCAGAGTCGTTGAATCTTGAATGAGGCGCACGCTTACTACCCCAAAGCTAGGCTTGGCTTCGCTGACGCTGCAGTCGATGCTATACATCATAAGCAAACGCAGCGACAGCGGCAGCGGCTGCAGCAGCGTCAATTGTTACCAAGTAGCGTTCAGGCAACCGTTTGGGCCCCTGTTCAGGTGTTGTCGTTTTTGCAAGCCGCACTCGAGCTGAGTCGGTTTTCGTCTGCCTGGCAGCGCGGTTCTGAAACGCGTTCAATTCGTTGGAAAATAAGCTCGGCTCGCTGGTTCGGTGGTTTCGGTGGTGAGCTGTCGCACTAAATGCCAAGAAAAAGTTCCAAGTTGATTTTCCTGAAATACGTTTTCGACGCTGAGTTGGCTGCTAATTCGGGAATTTGGATTTTTTTTACCACAGGCCAGCTCAATTGTGTAACATCGGGGCTCTGCGTGAAAATCGTGAAAATTTCGAAAGTGCGCAACCGATTGCAGCGAACACACGAATTTGGATACACACACTTGCTGCATACAGGAAGTTTTGATTCACTTGGTCAGATCGAAACTTAAAGATCAAGTATAATTAGTAGTTTCGTTTGAAGTCGTTGGATTGGATTTCTGAAATTCCTACAACTGAGTAAGCCGACTTCAAAATGATCACTACTACTACTACTAAATAAAAATACAGTCAGGAACCATTTTTCTTTACTCTATTTCTGATTTACAATGAGAGTTTAGTCGACACTTTTATTGTAAATCAGAAATAGAGTAAAGAAAAATTTTTCCTCGCAATTTGCTGAATGATGAAATTTAAAGTTCAGCATTTGTTATTAACGCAAACTTGTTGTTAGATAAATCAATTTTCTATAGAGGATAGAGGATAGAGGATAGAGGATATAGGATATAGGATAGAGGATATAGGATAGAGGATAGAGGATAGAGGATAGAGGATAGAGGATAGAGGATAGAGGATAGAGGATAGAGGATAGAGGATAGAGGATAGAGGATAGAGGATAGAGGATAGAGGATAGAGGATAGAGGATAGAGGATAGAGGATAGAGGATAGAGGATAGAGGTTAGAGGATAGAGGATAGAGGATAGAGGATAGCGGATAGAGGATAGAGGATAGAGGATAGAGGATAGAGGATAGAGGATAGAGGATAGAGGATAGAGGATAGAGGATAGAGGATAGAGGATAGAGGATAGAGGATAGAGGATAGAGGATAGAGGATAGAGGATAGAGGATAGAGGATAGAGGATAGAGGATAGAGGATAGAGGATAGAGGATAGAGGATAGAGGATAGAGGATAGAGGATAGAGGATAGAGGATAGAGGATAGAGGATAGAGGATAGAGGATAGAGGATAGAGGATAGAGGATAGAGGATAGAGGATAGAGGATAGAGGATAGAGGATAGAGGATAGAGGATAGAGGATAGAGGATAGAGGATAGAGGATAGAGGATAGAGGATAGAGGATAGAGGATAGAGGATAGAGGATAGAGGATAGAGGATAGAGGATAGAGGATAGAGGATAGAGGATAGAGGATAGAGGATAGAGGATAGAGGATAGAGGATAGAGGATAGAGGATAGAGGATAGAGGATAGAGGATAGAGGATAGAGGATAGAGGATAGAGGATAGAGGATAGAGGATAGAGGATAGAGGATAGAGGATAGAGGATAGAGGATAGAGGATAGAGGATAGAGGATAGAGGATAGAGGATAGAGGATAGAGGATAGAGGATAGAGGATAGAGGATAGAGGATAGAGGATAGAGGATAGAGGATAGAGGATAGAGGATAGAGGATAGAGGATAGAGGATAGAGGATAGAGGATAGAGGATAGAGGATAGAGGATAGAGGATAGAGGATAGAGGATAGCGGATAGAGGATAGAGGATAGAGGATAAATTATATATGGTTGAGAATTGGGGATATATGAGTGAATGCCTCATCGATCGAGCATTTGTTATTAATAATTTCTTCCTTATTCTAATTATTACTTCTGTATAACGAATTAATGTTAAAGTCATACCTGCTTTATAAGAATATAAAATGAATGTATATTTAAAAGATTGTTTTCTTACACACATCATTAAAGCATAATCAGTAGCTTGTGAGGCGTCATGATTTATTTCGTCTTTTGTTTGTTTATGTATTCTCTGTACATTTGTATTTTAGTTAATAGATTTTAGCTTTTTGTTGTGCGAAAAGATATAAAAGCAAGATACAGATGCAAAAAGCACAACAAATACGCTGGCAATTACGTGATTGATGGCTGCGCCGCGATTAAGGTTCTAAGAGTGAGTGTACTGTAGAATATTCACTTTGCCGTCTACAGATTGGCAAGAAAAATAAAAAGAAAACAATTTTACTGAGCTGGTATATTTATGAGCGAACAACTCCAAACGACGTCTCGGGCGGACAATGCAGGCATACCAATTAGGATCAATTGACGGATGTGAACTGGACAATGTACGGCGATGATTCAATCACTTCACAGGCTCAACTTGGCGTTCCCCTGCTGCTGGATAAACCAAAATTGTAGCCTGTTACATATAAGTAAAACGACTAACAAACGAGAATGCCAAATCTAGGTATATTCTATACAAGAGATTAATAATATTACAAGTTTCCAAAATGTAAGCTTCGAATAGACCTACAAAAACATAGAGCAACATAAGTTGGAAGAGAACAAGTAGTCGAGAGTGCTAAATGGAAAAAGCCCTCTGTATGAGAATCAGCATATAATCTTCTGCATAGCTTTGAAAGATTTCTTCTTACTAAATCTATTTCGGGGCGTAAAAAGCTTCGTTTAATTCACGCTTGAGAAAGTAAACATCAAGCCAACAGCCGAATAACATTTGCAGGCTTACTCAGGTTTTTAATTAACAGTTTCGTTTTAGCGACGCTGACTGCTGTTGCTCTGCCTATTGACAGTGCCACTCAATTTGACGGAGTCGACGACGGCGTCTGCGGTTGTAACAGAGAGAGCGTCAGAGTCGTTGAATCTTGACTGAGGCGCACGCTTACTACCCCAAAGCTAGGCTTGGCTTCGCTGACGCTGCAGTCGATGCTATACATCATAAGCAAACGCAGCGACAGCGGCAGCGGCTGCAGCAGCGTCAATTGTTACCAAGTAGCGTTCAGGCAACCGTTTGGGCCCCTGTTCAGGTGTTGTCGTTTTTGCAAGCCGCACTCGAGCTGAGTCGGTTTTCGTCTGCCTGGCAGCGCGGTTCTGAAACGCGTTCAATTCGTTGGAAAATAAGCTCGGCTCGCTGGTTCGGTGGTTTCGGTGGTGAGCTGTCGCACTAAATGCCAAGAAAAAGTTCCAAGTTGATTTTCCTGAAATACGTTTTCGACGCTGAGTTGGCTGCTAATTCGGGAATTTGGATTTTTTTTACCACAGGCCAGCTCAATTGTGTAACATCGGGGCTCTGCGTGAAAATCGTGAAAATTTCGAAAGTGCGCAACCGATTGCAGCGAACACACGAATTTGGATACACACACTTGCTGCATACAGGAAGTTTTGATTCACTTGGTCAGATCGAAACTTAAAGATCAAGTATAATTAGTAGTTTCGTTTGAAGTCGTTGGATTGGATTTCTGAAATTCCTACAACTGAGTAAGCCGACTTCAAAATGATCACTACTACTACTACTAAATAAAAATACAGTCAGGAACCATTTTTCTTTACTCTATTTCTGATTTACAATGAGAGTTTAGTCGACACTTTTATTGTAAATCAGAAATAGAGTAAAGAAAAATTTTTCCTCGCAATTTGCTGAATGATGAAATTTAAAGTTCAGCATTTGTTATTAACGCAAACTTGTTGTTAGATAAATCAATTTTCTATCGTTATGGCATTTTTATTCTTCAGAACCTGTTGTGAAACTAAAAAATAATTATTCTTGAACACTATTTTTATTATGAGTATCAGTAATTCTGGTATATGAACATTCATTCGGAACACACTACACATACGACGTGTTGCACAATGTTTGTTGTTTTTTCCCAGCTCACTTAGTGAAAATTATAGTTACTTTATTCTACATATTTTAATTGATATATTCTAATATTGAGTTACCAAAGCAAATGTTTTCTCTGGAAGATTTTGCTAGGAAAGTAAAGTTTTCTCAGCCAAATTTGTACAAACTTAAATAATTTTGTGTTTTTTTAAGTGAACAAAGAAGCTTAGTGGGAATACGAAAAAGCACTTGATGCCTAAATTGTTCCACGCATTCAGTCTATGGGTATGCTACATGGCGTATACGTATTATACGAAGTTTTAAGTCAACAATAAGATAATTTACGTGTAAATGATATATATATATATATATATATATATATATATATATATATATATATATATATATATATATTTTATACTTCAATAATAATTTGTAATAAATATTTTGTTATGAATTCTAAATTTAAAATTATATTTATTATTTATTATTATTATTATTATATTACAAATTAATTTGATTAGCTTTGAGTATTCTATTGCTAAACATTAAATATTTTTGGATACTAAAAATATTATTGATAGAATCAAAATGGAGTTGCAATCGTAAATTGAATTCAATTGACCAGTTTAGCAATGTGTATTTAAAATTGAATTCATAAAATGAAAATATTTTGACGCGCATTTTTGCAGTTGCCGTTCTCTTGAGGCTAATTCAAGCATGTTAATATTTTGCACGTAAAACTATCAAGTACTTACATACAGACATCAAGTTATATGTGCATGTTTGTGTGTGCCATTTTGATTTTCAGCTAAGTAAAAACCTTGAAAAGCTTAATCGATGCAAATATTGAATCAAAGTCAAACAGCATTAAACTTGCCGAACTTTACCCAGCGTCTGAAAAAGTTTGTTTTTCCTTGCAAAAGGCGTAAAAAACTGCATCAGCAGCGAGGCAGACAGACGAGCGATAGAGCGAGAGGCAGAGAGGGAACGAGAGAGGGAGTGTGAGGGAGATCGAGAGACACATAGACTGGCAGGCTAAGGTTGTGGCTGGTGTCAGAGCTGTGGAGGTGTGGAGCCAAGGCTTTAGCCAAAGGTTTTATGAATGAGCGCAGCGTAGCGCAAATATTTGACAAATCCCGCGAATGCGCTGCTTACTTATGCTGTCGTCACGTCTGAATTCGATGGGTTGCCGGCCAGTCATACTGATGAGGATTGCTGGAAGCTGCGGCTGACAGCATAAAGCTGTAACTGAAGCAGAAGCCGAAAGTCTTCTTAGATGAGAGCACATGCATGCACAAGCATATATGTATTGCATGTATTTCCAGTTTGCCATTGACCAAGGTGGAGTTTCAAAAACGAAACTGAAATTTGCATTGCAATTTAATCGAGGTGTAATTTATATATCGCACCTTGTGCACTTTTTGCAGCATTCAATTTGTTTGGCTCGTTTGCAGCCGCTGCTGCTGTTGTTTATGCAAGCTGCGACTCGAGGCGCACACCACAGGCAAGCAAATGGGCGCACAATGCCCCCAGACTAAGGCGCAGATGCAGATTCAGATTCAGATTCAGCAACAGTAATGGAAAACACACACACGTAAACACAAAGGCAGACACCGACACCGACACCGACTAACAACGCTAACGAGTGCAGCCGCGTATCTGTATCTTACGGTTAGCTCAGCTCAGGTAACACACACCTGAAATGCTGAAATGCGCCAATTTGTATGCAACTGGCGTTAATAGTGTAATCCGGCAGCAGCAATGCGTTGCACAAAGTTGGCAAACAGCCCCCAGCCCCAGCTCCGTTGCTTGGGCAACGCCAACAGAGTCCAAGTCGAGGTCGCCGCCAAGCTGCTCCCGCAGCTACTACGTGAGATGCGCAATAGTATAAAATTGATTTGTAATCGATAAATGTGCGAATATTGCGCATACGTTTAAATCAACAATCAAAACATTTGGCATTTGTCGATTTTGCATGCACACGATACCAAAAGATACAATTATACATCTCTCTCTCTCTATATATATAAATATATATAGATTATATGTCTATCTAGCAACTGGTAAAACTTTGCCACGCCAATTCTTTGGCACTTTAATTATGTACGTGCGGCCGTGCTCATGCACTCTGCCTGGTCGCGCTGCCTATTTCTACTGTAAAAATTGAAAAATCAAATACAAGGAAAACCACTCGAGCTGCAGCAGCCGCCGCTGCATTTGTAGCTGCAGCAGTTGCAAGTAGCTGCTGCTAGTGACAAGGTTAGCACATTGGCGTTTATTTGGGGCTTCTGCTGGTCGCCAATGAATTCTAAACGAAACGTTGATTCATTCCACAATGCCAAGTATTAATTTTGTAGTAAATACACACACACACAGAGATGTGTGTGTAGCCAGCTTCTTGTTAGATGTGGTTTTGTTTTTAGTGGCCAACAGCTTTGGCATTAACAAATGTTTAATTGCAATAAATGCACCGGAATACCTTGACTATGCTTATGCGATGCCTGAGCTTGAGCTTGAACATGGCGATCCATTGAAATTGTGAAGAGCTCTGGGTTAGTTTGCTTTTGAAATCAGGCACTTCGATGGCTTGCTAGCCACAATTGACCAGCTATCGCGTGGCCAAAAAGCGCACTCACAATTAAATTATTTATGCCTTTGGCTGTGGCCTATGAAAGGTTAAACGTGTTAAATGCATCCATGCAGCACGTTCAATTGCTAAAGTGTCTCTCAGATTTTCAATTTCGTTGTATTTTCCTTTGTCAACTAGTTTTTGGTTAGCATTTACCTGCCGCATTTAATAGGCCAGCGAGCATTTACTGCCCGTAATAGCTTCTTAATTATACATTTGGCCATAAACATTTTGGCCAGCTCCACGTTTTGTCTGCCAGCATAAGCAATTGGGTCATTACCATTCAGCCCAGCTGGCTAATGCTGCTGCTGCTGCTGCCTGAGACCTTGACTTAACGTGCACATAAACACGCAGATTTACAGGTCATCAAACGTGTAGAGCACTGTGCTAAAACTTACGTGCATCCAAGGAATCATGCTTAACGGGCAGACTATTCACAGTAATTCACGGTTTATTTCGTTTAATAGTATTTTTTGCATCATCTGAAGTCGTTTATCAATTGTATAAAATTTTTTTTTGTTATTGTTATTATAATAATAAACATATTTTCTTTATATATTATTATTGCATGTAATGCTTAACAGTTTTTGAATGTTGAATTCCGTGCAATTTCTTAAAGTCAAACTGGTTTTATGCAGCGTGGGCACATAAATTGTAATCTTTTCATTTGTACTAACATTGCTTAATATGAGTTCGTTTTAAGCTTCTTTACTTTTTGCGCACATAGCTCTCATTGTGGTTATAAAGCAGAAAGAACACGACAGTCGGGTGCAATCGACTATTTTATACTCGTTCACCCTGCTTGCAAAGCTAAATTTTGATAAAATTTATATTTTCATATAGGTTATTCGCTTAAGGGAAGCTTTAAGTTATGTGGTTCGATTTGTAGTACATCTTAAAAGTGAGCCATCTGCAAAACGTTGTGATTATCTATAGATATTATAGACTGAGTCTTTTCAATTTATATACCAGATTAAGTTTATCTATAAAGGAAATCACTTCTGAGGCTTTGCAGGCCTGAGTTATATTTACGCTCCTGGAGCTGGAGTTAAATAAAATTTATTTGTTGCTTTATCCAAATATAACTATTTAAAATTCTAATTGCTTAGCTTCATTAATAATATGCCCTGACATCACATTTGAAAAATCAATATACTCTTTTGACATCCGAACGAGTATGTAAATGAGAGATTCCCCTTCATTTTCATGTAATTCAGCAAGCTTGTGAAATAAACTGAATATTCCTGTAGTTGTTCGAGAGCTAAAAGAGGTTGGCTTAATATTATTACTCTAATGGATTTTATACTGTGTGCTTATAAATTTAATTAGTTCATTATTTCCTTACACAGGTTGGCAAATTTGATTTTTCTAGTTATTAAATATTATTCTATGGGTTTCTCGACGTTATTTAAGCGGACTATGTGTTGGCTTTAATCACAGATTCACTGACATTGTTTAATTTTATGTGCATTATCTGTCATGTGGTTAGTATCTAGATAATACCACAGAGGCAATTAAAAAGTAGCTGCCGTCTAGCGAATAGTGAAATTAAACGAAACACACAAAAAATTCCGTAATTTAAGTGGGCAGCAAATCAAATCGAGGCAATCATGTTGCTGTTCCTTTTATTTAATTAATAATTCTGTACCTTAATGAATGCATAATTGAATAATAAACAACATGCACACGCGGCCCCCCCGCGGGAATACATATTTGTACCTAGATACGCTTTGACCGAGTTGGTGTTGTTGTTGTTGTCATTGCTCCTGCTGTAGTTGGCGTTGCTGTTGCGTGTTGAATATGTTAACCTTTTAACTTTTGTGCACTTTAGCCGAGAGCCGCATTGAGTCCGGGAGTAATAAAAATGAGTTGGATCTCATTAAGTAATCACATGGAATATTTCCGCAGCCAATTAAACCCGAAAGCCGCAGCTTCGGATGCAAATACCAGACAGCCTGACAGATGGATGGACAAGCATGCTGATACACATACGAATATAGTCAGAGCTACAATTACAGTTACAGA